GCCGCACCGTGGCCTTTGACGTCTTCCACGAACTCGACGCCGTACGAGACCTTGGAGCTGCAGTAGCAGAGGGTACGGCAAGATAGTTTTTGGGTTCAGGAATTGGAAATAGAGAGGGGGGTGAGGGGGGTCGGGTACACAGAGTGCCCTCGTTATGCCCTTGCTTGCGGTTCATCACTTGATTGATGATAGTTGGCTGGCCGCAGGTGAGGCACCCAACCAGGAGCGAGAGAGACGAAAAGAAAACGGCGGCTGGTCACAGCTATAGTAGTAGAATCTTGGAGTGTGCTGGGAACCACGCTTGTGGTCAGGCTAGGGCAAGCACCACGGTTCATCGCCACTTGGACCAGATAATGAGCAGAAATCGGAACGGTTACGTAATGCACAAGAAGAACAAGAAGACGAAGCAGCAGCAGCAACAACAACAACAACAACAACCACAGCGGTGGATGCTCTACCCTGTCCGGGAAGCCCGTGGACTACAAAATTCGATCAAAACCTTCAAGCCCACCAACGCTTACGTTGATCGGTTGGCGGGTTAGCCGTTGATGCCTACCGACCCACGCTGACGGATTTTCCATTGGTCAGCGGTTTCGCCCTGTCGATGCTATCGAGTAAAACACACACGTACGCATTCGTCGGCCGGTTACGCGGTCGATCCTAGAAGGGGGAAAAAGCTAAAGACACACACACATTCCGCTACAGACTGGCGAATTTCACTGGCCTCCCGGCGAGCACGGTCAACAAAAAGAAATGAAAACACGAACACACACAACCTAGGACGGTCGATGTGAAATTCACGAAACACTCGCAAACGCACTCACACGAGGAGCATGACCGCGTATGTGTTCCCATCATTACCTTTGATCTACTCCAGCTTCTCGTCGTTCACCTGGCGTCGTCAGTGTTCTCGGTCGTTCGTTCATTCGATTGCCATGGTCGTGTTACGGCAGGTTGTTCAGGTACGGCAGGCTGGTCGGCTACGGCAGACTCTTCAGCTACGGTTGTTGTTTGTCTTCACATTAAACCGTATGTCAGTTGCTAAATGCCAAAATCTAGCAAAAGACTCTCAGCCCGTGGTCACGAAAGTGCTAGAGCCATCTGAGGATCTAAAGAACACGCACACATCTGACGAGAAAAAGGTATGCAAGAGCCCGAAGAGG